TTATGTTTGCTTTTTTAATTGCGTTGTGTTGTGAGCTTATGTTTGCTTTTTTAATTGCGTTGTGTTGTGAGCTTATGTTTGCTTTTTTAATTGTGTTGTGTTTTGCACTACTGGGTCACCGTATGAATGTCTTTTAAATGGTACATTATTCTGGATTTCAGTGCTTTTATCAGCTCTGTGTTACTATAAATTAGCCAGACAGTCTTTGACCATGATCAAGGCTAAAGCAAACCTACACAACTAAAGAACACGCCACCATAGAAAAGAAACATGGGTTGTTTGAGTTTGTAATAATTATAAGTGGTGTTTGCTAAGGAAAGATTCACTATTTCCAAACTCTATGACCCACCCAAAGCATGCAGGCAACCACCAAGCAACTGCATAGCAACATTGGGTTTTGTACAGGCAAGCACCACTCACACTTTTATTTATATTTTTCAGAAAATATACTGGATGTCTTGATGTGTTGGTTGAACATGGTTTTTAGTGCAGCATCCAGGCTAATGGCAAAATGACTACAAATCTAATTATTTTTAAATTTGCCCTTTGAAATTATACAGAAAACAATTCATTTTATTTCCATTTTTAAATAAGCTTTAATATTTAGGACATTAGTATATATTATGGGGGCAGTGTTATTTTAAAATTGTTTATATTAATATTTTGAATTAGCTTTTATTTTTATATTTTTAGTTATGTTCTTTTTATTTGTAGAACTTTTTATTAAAACATATTTAGCTTTAATTAATTTTTTTAATTTATTTAATTTAACATTTAGTTGTACAGTTGTATTTAAATATGACCTATCAGCAGGTTTAGGTAGGACAGAGCAGTCCTGCTCATAAAGCTGAACTGGTTGCCTTAAGAGCAGTAAATCAAAATGTAAAGGTCATGTGTTGCACAAGCACAAAAATCCCCTTAGTTAATCAGAGGTCATCCGAGATCAGAGCCTCTCATCCTTCTACCTGTCCATCCCTCTGATCAGCGTGTCCCACCACAGGAATCCACTCAGCTAATGAACATCTCACCACCATCCCTCTGCCCTCCTTGTAAAGCTTCTCTCCTCTTCACCATCTCCTTTGTTGATTTGACCAAAGTTGGATCTCTACAAAGTGAAAAAAAATGACATTCTGGGTCGAGGATATCAAGGATGATCAAGTTAATGAATGGCCACCAGATGTTGGTTATTAGGCTAATGCAGTCCTCCCTGCTTCTCTCAGGGGGAATGGCAGCTCTCACTAGTGGAGCACACGCAGAGATACGACTAAAACTATATGAGCTGCTGCTTCTGCTGCTACAGACCAGTGAAAACCTCCAGCCCAAATTGTATTTGGTGAATCACGTTACATACACACTTTCCCATACTACAGTTGAAAAGTCTGGAGTTGGTAAGATATGTAGATGTTTTTGAAAGAAGTCTTTGATACTCATCAAATCTACATTTATTTGATTAAAATTCCCTTATAACAGCTCAGTTAACTGCAGCCTGGATTAGAAATGACAAAAAATCAGGATGGGTCGAAATAGAACAGAGCACAATCAAATGGACATCCTTGTCCATTCTACCTTTTATAAACATAAAATTGGTTCCTAAAATCAAAAGTGATAATGAATGGATAAAACATACTTTAAAATTTGGACAAAAATCTATTTCCAGGGCCATGCCTATAGAAGGTAATATTGATTTTCTTCCATCTGTGTGGGACAGTGGATTTAGAATATGGGCTGATAAAGCGTTTTTTTTAAAATCACTTCTATCATTTAAAATGATTGATTTTAGTTTACTTAAATATATTTCAAATGTGTATTAATATATTCAAACATTTCTGATCTGTAAGTTTTTTGTTTGTTTGTTTGTTTGTTTTTTGTAAGGAAAGACTGACTCTTATGCTCCCCAAGGCCACATTTATTTGAGCAAAGATTGGTGCTCAAGTAACAATTCTTATTAGTATCAATGTTGAAAACAGTTTTGCTACTTAATAGTTTTGTGTAAACCATAATACATTTTTTCAGGATTCTTTGATGAATAGAAAGTTCATGGAACAGCAATAAAACAATGTTTGAGCAACGTAATGCATCCTTACTGAATACAAGTAGATACTTTTTTTTTAACAAAAATCCTCTTTATATTGAAACAAAGAATTATTTAATATTTAGTTTATACATATACTGTATAAATATATTGCATATATTGGTAAAAAAATCAAATGAGATCATTGTTTACATACAGTAAGAGTATAGAACTATAATGTGGACGGCATAACTCATGATTTGGTCTTGGACTAATTTGATGAGAAATGTTTGAGTTTTATAGAGTTACTTATTAAGATCCTTCACTTTTCATTGTTAACTTTGGTATCTTACCAGGTCTGAGCACAGGTTAGATCACTTCTGTGTTCTCAATTTGCTTTCCATTTAATCACTGCTGTCTATGATACAAACACACACACACACACACACACACAGACACAAGCACCAACACCAGATTTGCCAGTGGAACTGGCAAGAAACTGGCATATGCTATCAGAAACTGGAAAGAAAACTGGCATCAGCCTTCAGAACAAGTCGAAAAGATATAGATCTTACTTACCTTTGGTCACGTTTGGCAACGTGACGGTTTTTGGCTAATAAACCAGATCTTGGCGCTGAATACGAGCCATGGGGAATACAAACACTGTAAGTTCATGTTCTTCTTGTCTGACTGCCAACACTCCTGACTGTGCAGTTGTTCTCGATGGATTTTGCATTATGCACACAGGCAGATATTCAAAAGTGTCAAGACAAAGGGAAGTGGGTTTAGTGTTTTTTTTTTCTGTGAACAACATATGGTGCAACCTGTGACATTATTATAAAAGCACATGTTTTTCTCACAAATGTTGCTACTCAGTGCAACAAAGAAGAATCCAAAGGTCATGGATTCTGAACTGCAGGCTTTAGTATAATCTTATTCATATTGGATTTAAAATTCAAAGTGCACCACCACCATGCCAAGACATTTTGAGAGGACAACATGAACCCAACTGTGTTCTTGCAGCGGTGTTGTGAAGTGAA